GGGCTCTGCCACCAAGGAGTTGTTTAACTGCCTCAGTGACCTCGCCCCCGGAAATTCCCCTCATCCCCAGACTCTGCTTCCTTATTCATATCCTTATTCACTATATCCATGAACCTCCTCTGAGGTCTTACTCTTTTCCTCCTGCTTGACAGCTCCCTCTTTATATATTTGTCCACTCAACAAATCAAGAACTGAGGAAAATAATAAAACCCAAGAATCGATGTCGATAAACTCAAAGGAAGACAAAAACTCATAAATCTCAGAAAACCACAGATAATCCAAAAACCACAATTCCATTGAAGATAACAGCATGTGAAAGCTTATTTACAGGCTTGTGGTGTAAATGTTCCCACAGGACCGGGCATTTCGTGATGAGGCAGAGACCACGAAGAACAGAGTGAGCTGGGACACAGAGATGTACTGCTTTCTGGACGCAGGGGGAACTACAAGGTTGGAGGCTGAGCATGCAAATCACTCCTTTATTTCTCTGTGTACCGGACCACCATGCTACCTGCTGGCTACAATTTTACGAATTTAATCTAGAAAGGGAAAGTCAGTCACCAGTTTCTTTGTTACAGAACACATGTTATAGCAGAGTCTAAGAGCAGGATTTCCTTATTCAGAACATTTCAGGCATGCAAGGAAATCAGAAAGCAATGAAAAAGGAATTTGATCTTATCACTGATTTCAGGCACACAGTGAGCATGTGATCTGTGCAAGTATACAGTAAGTAAATAGGCTTAATGCTTAGAGTAAAGGTCAAATGTATGAAAGAAAAAACAACTAGTGCAGTGGTTTTCACAAAGGCCCACATGAGACATTGGGACTGTTGTGAAGGGCTGCACCAATAAGCTGAACTCAGTTATTATGCTCAATATTAACTGTATCACTATAAAATGCTACTGGTAAGAGTAGATGTTACAGCTAGACAACGAAAATGTGAAATATCCATAGTAAAAATAGATTTTTATTTTTTATCACAGTTTAATCAACATTCTCCAAAATGACACTTTTTTTCCTCGGTGAAAGAAATCTAGTCTGTTTTACCAACCCTTTGTTTGCTTGGCAGTAGCACTGAAGTTGAAACTCTCTCAAACAAATACATGAATCCACTCCTTGTTTCTCTAAGTATTGCCAAGACAACAATAGTTCTTAACTGGAAATCAAAGAAATAGTTACATATTAACATCCAGACAAACCTTCTCATTGAAGACACACGTTTAGAAACCATGACATTCTTGCAAAAAGACAATAGAGCTGTATTTATCAGCATTTTAAACCCATTTTCTGAATTAATCATGTTGATTATTATTATCATTGTTGTTGTTTAATGGTAAATGGCCTGTATTTGTATAGCGCTTTACTAGTCCCAAAGGCCCCCAAAGCGCTTTACAAATCCAGTCATCCCCCCATTCACACACACTGGTGATGGCAAGCTACATTGTAGCCACAGCCACCCTGGGGTACACTGACAGAGGCGAGGCTGCCGGACACTGGTGCCACTGGGCCCTCTGACCACCACCAGTAGGCAACGGGTGAAGTGTCTCACCCAAGGACACAACAACCGAGACTGTTCAAGTCGGGGCTCGAACCGGCAACCTTCCGATTACAAGGCAAACTCCCAACTCTTGAGCCACGATCGCCCCAATTGTTGTTGTTGTTTATTTTGCCAGAACAATTTAATATGTGACCTTGGGACTGGTGGGATCTGGAGTTGCTCACTAGGTGGGTTTGGGCTGTGGTGGTACCTCGGGGTGGTCCTGGACCTCCATCCACTGTGCCCCATCTCTCATGTTGTCGGCCAACTAATGACATTGTCTTTGCAACACATTAGGAAACAAAAATAAAACAAAGGAATAAAGAAAGGAAAAAAATAATAATATAAAACAACTGTAATACACATGAAAGGGTAGGTTAAACATGATTAAAGTGGGATTCGCATCTCACAGTGTTTTGTTATTACATCACACAAGATTAGGGTTACCAAAAATATAGCAAGCTTTTAATATAACAAAAAAAGATCAAGGCAGTCATGTCAGCGTAAGCCGATATAGGATGAATGGGTGCTTCTGGGTTGGGAGGTGTGAATGGGATGTCCCCTGGGCTGCACCCTCCATGCCTTTGGTGAATTGCTCTAGGATGATGGAAAACACAAAGAGAGAATATAAAAATGTGTGTATCAGTACTGATTATAATTTCAGGCTGAAGCAAAGGATAACTAAGAGCAGATTGTGGCCAGTGGAGATCATGAGGTCATTGGCTCCATTATCAAAGGTTAGTATTCCTTTTTATTCTCTCTTCTTTGGTGTTTGGATTTCCAGTATTTAGGATATCATATGCAATAAGCTTAGAAAAAACAACATGTGATTTTAAGTCTAACTGAGATGGAGACCAGACCAGACCTGTGTGTGTTTGTGTGTAGTTAGGTGCTGAGGACTCAGAAATCCCCTACCATGGTTTGGCATTTATAGACTTTGGGCAGCTGCTGTATCCTGGAGTCCAGCGAATCCGAGGAGCATACAGCGTTCAGCCTTTCTCTGAGGAAGATTTGCTGAATAAGGTTCCAGTAACACACACACATCACTCATTTACTTTAAATTTGGTTTCCTTTTAAAATATAAATAAAAACAGAATGGAGTACTTAGTTAATCTCACAAACCAATATTTTATTCACAGTAAAAATCAGAAAACAAATCAAATATTAAAACTGAGAATGTATATTTATGCGTAAAATATGGGTTTATGAATTTTGGAAATAATTTTACTTTCTTTATAAATACAATTTACACAGTGTTCCAACTCTGGGGTTGCAGTTGATATTGCCTTTATTTAAATAGGGCTGTTAAATTGCTATGTGAATTGTTTAACCTCTCTTGCACTCAAAGGCCAAGCGAAGCATCAGTGTTTTAAAGGAAAAAGCTAAGGAAGCTGCCAGCCAGGCCAAAGATATTGTCAGCTCTAACAAAGCAGCAAAGAACATGAATGGAAGCAACAAGGGACCCACAGATTCCAATGAGCAAGGCAAAAAGGTCAGAAAAGTTTTGATGGTCACAAGTGAATAATTCTTTAGAGTTTTTATAAGTTTTCCAGCATAAGCAAAGTCCAGCAGTTCCTTTCCCCCCCCTCAAACAATTAAACCGGACTTCAGTTATAAGAATTTAGACCATAACATAAAGTTTTTTAAAATTATATCAGCAACATGCAAATCACAGTGAAGGAGCTGTGCCATTAACTGCAGCTGGCCTGCAGTGATTTATATGAACCTGAGCCACAAGTCAATGCCGAGGGAACCCGAAGCTCCATGTAAACATCAACACAACTCTGCACAGCATTAGCGAAGAAATCAATAAAATTATCAGTGTTCCCTCTAAGGTGTACGCAATTGCGCACTGCTGGCACGGTCTCTGCGCACAGAAAATCTGCGTTGCGCACACACACAAAAAAATCTAACCTGAATTGAAATTAAAATCAATACTTTAACAATTCTGTTTTGCAGTGTTAGTCAGTAAGTGACTGGCTGCTCCCATATGGGATCCAGCCAATAATGCGATTCACATTCGTATATACGCAGCTAATCAATGTCGTTGACAGGCTATGACAGCGTCCTTATGTGCCGACACCGGTGTTTTAGCTAGCAAAGCGGCGTGGCGACGTTTAGCGCAAATCTTGTATAGTTAGTGTGTATTGCAGTAGTTTTGTTGTGTGTGTCAGAACAACTGCTGAATGTTACAGGTGTTACAGCAGTGATGCATCTCCTGTTGTCAGGCCTGCAGGTATCAGGCTGTTGTTTACGGAGCCCCCCAGGGGACATGGGAGAAAAAAAAA